GAGAGGGTTTTTATAGTAAAGGAGGAGGCGGGGACTAAAAAACCCTAGATTTCTATTTCCTAATTACTATTTTACCCTCGAGCGGGGGTTTTTATTACTCTCTAACCACCCGCCAAACAACCACAAACTGAAAAAAGAAGAGGGAAAAACATTTTACAACAAACGACTTGTAACAAAGATCTTGTGGAAGGGGGTTTTTTGGTATCTTGCTTGGTAACCAAATTTGAATTATTTTTCAAAAGCTGGCGCACAAAAATTCATTGGATTTACTTGTTATTATGGTTGTTTCGATTTGTATGCCACGTTAGATTTCCTTAATTGGGCTTAGAGATGCATGCATTTCTACTCAGTACTCACTGTCTTTTTTGATATTTTGTGTAATTCTTCACAATACATTTTTAATTATGTGAAATATTAAAATTGATTTAATATTTTTTTATCGAATATATCATAATAACTAAAAAAAACCATTCTCCTGTAGTGTATAACTTCTTTGTGTATTAAAATAACAAAACATAGCTCTTTTTAGGGTCATCTATTTAAACTTTTTTTTTTTTTTTTGACATCTTTGGATCGACAAGGCCCGATCCATAGCCAATTCCTACTACGCGGAGTAACGCGAATTAGTGGAATCGAACTCCGGTGGAGAAGGCGGAGTCAAGTGGACTTAACCACTTGACTAAAAGCACATCCCCCATCTATTTAAACTTTGAATGATCGACTTTTGTATATATTTAGGTCTTTTTTTGGTGCAAACCTACGCTTCTTAAAAACGACAATGTTTGCACAAAACAATGGATTTTTATAATATTGAAACCCTACTTGAAGTTGACGATAACCATTAATAACATCGATTTATGGACATATGTTGAAAATAGATACGCGTGCATTTGTAGACAATAGCCCAAAATGACTTGGACCGCACTAAAACAGATTAAAAAAAAAAAAAAAATACTATAAACAATAAAAGGACGAACCAATTGGGCTTTTATGTCACCAATAAGACCAAATAAAGTTTGACCAACTTTTTTATGTTTGACTTTGCAGTGTTGTATAGTACAAATGTAACAAAAACCCAGAGAGACACATTCTCATCACACATAAAAAACATATAAACCCTTTCCCAAAAATAAATATCCCTTGATGACTCCTACCCAACTCCCCCCAAACAAGCTTATTTCATGACTCAAACCCACCAACCACTGGATCTGACCGGACCAGGCCAGACCAGACCGGACCGGGCCAGACTAAGTAAGGCACCCCATCTGACTTTTACACAGAAGACCAGACTCTCTAATCAGACCCTTTCTAACCAGTGCCCCCAAACTCTTTAAGCTGCTTCGACTCTTCACACTCATCATGCTCAGCTCCTGTTGAAACAAAACCAGACTCACAGATTTACACATGCATGACACAAAGCCAGATCGACTCTGGCTTCCTAGCGTACGCCTCAAATGCTCAGACATCTGGACAGGATTAATTTGTCCCAAGTAATAAGTTTTACCTTCATTTGAAGTTGAATCCACCTGGTGGTACGGCTGCATCATTACCTCCTCCGAACTGGAAGCCTTGTGCAGAGGGATCACCAGGTGGTAGAGTTTCATCTTCCTCTTCCAACCAGTACGTTTCAAGAATCTTCACTGCCTTCTCATAGATTTCGCTGTTGTCATGACTCTGCAGATTCTCAATCTTTTCTAATCCCTCAGCATCATCGATCAACTGTGCATAAAAGTTTACATCCCCGGTATTTCCGGTCACCTTTTCAGCTTCCCCGACTTTCAAAATGTTCTCCAATCCTTCCAGACACACGGTGATAATCCTTGGATCAGGGCACACCAAAAGATCACACAGTGGTTTCACGACTCCTTGTTCCACCATGTACCTAAAAGATGCAGGGGAAGAATTTAACTGACCGTTTGCAAAAGAACCAACAAAGATTTCAAAGGAATTGAGATCAATAGAAGATGCGGCTTTATTTGATAATCTTACTTGATCTGGTCGGGAGAACCGCCCGAAGTGGCATTGGATATTGCCCATGCAGCTTCTTTCTTAATATCAAACTCAGCATTTTGAAGCAGATTGACAAGAGGGCAAATCAAACCAGCTTCACAAACAGCCTGCATTACCACAAGAATATTAGAGAACATAAACAGACAGAACATCTTTCGTCAAACAACAAGGCTTCTGAAACATGTCATCCAACATTAGTGTATGAGAAACTGGCAAGCTGAACAGAAACAACAATCTTTAGCAAAAGTTCACCTGAATCTGGTCCCTGTTTCCAGCAGTGATATTTGAGATTGTCCAGCAAGCTTCCTTTTTGATGCTCTTCTTATGATTGTGAGTCAGAAGGCTCAAAAGGCTAAGAAGTGCACCATGACTAATTACACACTGCAGAACCAACCAAAGAAGAAAGAAAAAAGTGAGGAATGGTAAATGTTTGAGATTCTTAAGAGTATTATACATCTAGAGGACTGCCTTAAATTAGTCTAACTATTCAAAAGGAATGTTAGGCATTGCATAGCTAGGGTAAAAAAACATGCAGGATACTAGGGGAAACAAAATCTAGGAAGAATTGACAGTTCCCATTCTAGAGATTCACCTAAGATTTGCATGATGATCAAATTTGACAACCAAATGTCATTATCAACAAGCTCAGATTCAGCTATCTAAGCCAGTGGTGTTTCATTCTTCCCATTAACATTGGACCATGTATACTGAATAATAGGAATGAATGACACTATAAAAGAACTAACATACCTGTGTCTGCAGATCATCTCCAGTGACAATGTTACCAATACTACGAAGCGCAGGAATAAGCACAGATGGTGATTGATGCCTACAGAAAAATAAAATTTGATAACATTCATTAACACATAACATTCATTCTACAAAACACGGTGAACTCATGGAATTTGAAACTCACTGGAGAAGCTCGACGAGTCGAGGAACAACACCTGCCTCAATGACAGATTGGATTTTGTCATTTGTGCCATCGGAAAGGTAAGAGAGAGCCCAACATGCATCCGTTAACACTTCCTCATCAGTCGAATGAATCAGGCGTTCAAGGGCTGGAAGTGCTGGACGGACCTGTTATTAAGAGATCACAGATATTAAAAGAAAAAATCCCTGATCTTTGGGCAGATTAAGATTGAAATGAGAGACAAACCTGGTCAAAGGGAGGCTGTGGCTTGCCCCTGCAGAAATTTGAGAGGGTCCAAGTAGCATTTCTCAGCATTGAGAGTTTAGCATGCTCATTCAACTGAGAGAGTAATGGTATCAAAGCTCCTTGACCAAGGACAAGATCTCTGCACCGTGGAGAATCACCAGCAACATTCCCTAATGCCCAAACAGCCTTACACATGAAAAAGATAGGAAAAAAAAAAACTTTAGAACATGCTTGTTCCCGAAAACAAAAAAAGTTGCCAATATATCCAGTCATGAGCAAAAACCGTAGACACATATCTTACCTGCTCACGGACATCATCACTCTGAGAAGCCAACAGCTGAACAAAAATCGGAACAGCACCATGTTCAATGACCACCTTAGTATTCTCTGAAGTCCCAGACGCAATGTTCGTCAATGCCCAAGCAGCCTCAAACTGAAGCCACACACATACACACATACACACACACAGAGTATTTTAAGTATCAGACGATAAGTCTAGCAAATGTAATTATGTAACAGATACATAACGGATCCACCAAACCTGAAGCTGTGGATAATCCTCTCTAGTGAGAAATTCCACAAACCGAGGCACAACACCAGCATCAATCACCTCTTCAATCGGAGGACTACGCTCTGCCAAAGTTCAAAAACCACAGATTCATTTCAAGAAATTCCCAAATCGAATGCAACAAACTTACAAACTCAAATCCAAAAAATTACCAATAGAAAGCAATTTCCGGAACTGAGTAGTCGCTTCAAGCTGTAGACTTCTATCATCTGACCAAACACCTCCAACCATTGAAGGCAGACTCTCCAACTTACCAAAATCAAAATCGATCTAATTAGCTCCAAATCAGAGAGAACAAAACACAAACCCTAAGAATCGGTTCCAGATCCCTAGTAATTTACCTTCTTCTCAACAGTTGAAGAAGCAGGAACAGAAGAAGGAGCGAATTGAGGTAGCTGATTAGCTTGAAGACCTTCACGACGCTTCTTCTGTAAGCTTTCTTCACGCTTACTTTTACGGATCTCAACCATGTTGTCCTCTCTCCTCCGTCTTCCTTCCTCAGCATCCACCGCTACTTTGTAGCGGTTCCGGCGAACCTCAGTCTTAGCGTTAGGTCTCAAAGACATGGTTAGCTAATACGAATCTCCTCTTCTTGCTTCGTGCCGGTGAATGATGAAAGTCACTGAAATGAGCCAACAAGAGTGGAGACTATGTATGTATATATATCAAAAAGTGTATGTAGAGAATCGGCGGATAGAAAGAGGATGATAAACCCTAAACGAAGTAGAGGGGAACGAGAAAAGAGGAAAAAGCACAGAGAGAGAAAGATTGAATTTCGTTGGTAAAATCTAAAAATCTTATAAGAAAATTTAAGATTCGTTACAGAGACCATAAATATACTTAAGTTGACTTGTTTATTCACTAATCATTACACTCTTTAGTCTTTACCACCGACTAAATTTTTTTTGTTTTTTTTTGCAAATTTGGCTTTGTGAAATGGTACATACGAATTTTTAAGTATATTCGATTTAGATAAACACAATGATCACTCAAAGAAGGCTCAGCCATGTTTAGAATTTTTTAAGGAATACATATATATGTACGGCTGAGACATCTGATTTCTGAGGTCTTTTTTTTTTAATGTTAAAATTCTCTCAAGGAAAAATAAAGCATGGTGATGGGGGGTTTGGTTTTAGCGGAGATCCAGGACTTCGTATTTGAGTTTGGCATTGAGGAAGACGTGTGAGCAATGCTCGTATATTGGGTTACCGTCTTCTGATTCTTCGTGTGGGTGGAAGCCTCGTTGCTGGCAGTTACGGATCACTGATACGCCTGATGGGTCAGAGAGATGGAATATTCCGTGAGGTGTTGATTCGTCTGTTGGAGCCATTACGATTGCCACTGCCTCCGGTAGCATTATCTGGTGAGATAGAAGATAGAGACAATATGTTAACATAGATGTAGATAATTTGGTCCGACTATCAATGCATCATAAGAAATATTGAAAGGGGAAGTTTTGTTACCTGATATGAGTAGTGTGTGTGAAGATCAACTGATGACATGAAGCAAGTTTGTGTAGGATGTGTCTGAAGCCAAAATGTAAATTAGCCAGAAGAATCGATAAAGTTTATTAACTACTGGATATGTGGATTCACAATTGTTCTGAGTAACTTTTTGGTAAGCCACCATCTGGAAATGGAAGATCTTTTTGTTCGGATGAGAGAACTTACATGAATCCAACCCAAGGGAAATAGAGAGAGTCTGTCCTGTACTTCGAATATTTCTTCCTCGTTTAGTGTTTGGCACTGTACATTAACAAATGGGGATGAACTAAGAGTGAGAAGGATCCCAGAGGAGAATTAAAAAGATCGTTATTGATGTAAATGGTTAAGAAAAATGAAGAACATACAGAATCTGAGGTAGACTCCTGCTTTGGGATTATGAGAGTAGTGATATGAAAAACCCTGTTTTTCTGCAAAAAGTGCAAATAAACAGTATATAAGTGATCATATGATATTGGAATAAAATAATATAAATGCCAAGGTTCCATCTACTCACCAGAGAGCCAGCAAGTACTCCACAAGTTTCTAAATTCCTTTCTGTGTTTGACCGAGCTAGCCTTAGGAAATCATCCATTATGCGCACGGGCTTCAGCAGATTTAAATAAAGGGAGATGACGTTAGTAGTAGATAAACATGACGTGAAAGAGATTAATTTCCAGCACTGTATCGGGCATGAACCCAATACTTTGATATAAAACATATTTTCCAACATAGTACTACTCCAATGTTCCATACAGTAGTTTCAGCTAATTTAATGTGTTGATTCTTGACCACATACATTAAATTAGAGTAATCATGGATAATTTTCTACTTGAAATGCATATCCATTCTACTTTACTCTCACAATCACTATGGAATTGGTGGAAATTGCACAAATATGAAAGAAGAAATAGCTGGAACTTACCACATGCAAATGCTGATAAGAATTGCTACCCTCTTTTCCTTCTAGAGAAGGAATTGCAGGTCCTGGTCTAGGATCAGCAACTTTAGATGGGCAAATTTGGGCTAACTCTTGATGCACTTGGGCAAGCACGGGAGGAGGGGAAGGTTGCTTCATACCGACAAACTGAAACGGGTCTTCAGTTGCATCACTAATAAACTGGGAATTTACTGCCTCAGAATGTTGCTGCCATCGACCATCATCTAAGGAGAGCACAGAGTTCAGCGTTGAGACTTCTTGAGAATCACCATTATGTGATGCTGAGGAACCGCTTGGTCCAGCTTCAATTAAACTGTAGAAATTCATGAAGTTAGCTACAAATAGCCACGACTTCTAACGAAGAGCTTAATAGGAAACAGAAGATGAGTACTTACCCAGAATTGTCTGCAGAACCCCAATCCGTATTACTCGGATATTGAACCTGTCATTCCATACAAAATAAAGATTTTTCTCAGCACCTTCAGATCTAAGATAATTAAATACTGGACTGGACCAAGAAGAAAAAGAAAAGAGTGAGAAAATGTGGGAAAGTTAACAGTGATCAGCACTATACCTTTATCTCCGACTTGGGTGCAACCCATTGACTTTTAAGACCATTCGGACCTAGAAATGAATGCCTTGACAAGGTTGCTTGGTTTGGAGGCAGAAAATCAAAAGATCTGCAGGTTCAGGAGCAAAATTAAAGTCACAATGATCATCTCGGATTAATATGGAGTAGCACTTGAGTTTCATATACTCATTTCTTGTTTCGATATCGCACAAACCAAAGTAGAATTCTACAAAACTCAACCACTAAGTATCTTAAACATGATACCATAAACACAAAAGCCAAGCTGCGTTGGCAGTTTAGTCCATCAGAATGGCAATTTTTCTGGTAATAAATGACCCAAACATCATATATTTATGGTGATCATAGAAACAGACAGATGTTAAGTAAGAAAACTAATGGCATATATCGGAGTGCATACCCCTATTTCTCAAGGTTTCCAAATGCTCAGAGAACTTATGGTGTTTGCTTCCTATTAAACAGAATTACCGACAATTATATTAAGGGAGAATACTCACAGCTTCTGGAATTGCTGATCGATCTGTGTACGATTTGAAGATGATGTCAGATTATTGTTATACGTCCAGGATGGTTGAGATGTTGGTAAGGGCTGCATCCAGAGAAGACAAAAAAAAAAAAAAAGACAAAAGGCATTGCTGGTAAGAAATCACATGGATTTTGAAGATGCAATGATTAAGTTAAAGAAATAGAAATAGATTATTATGTACTCAATGCAAATTCCAAGTCTCAGACGGACCTTGTTAATATCAGGTCCGGAGTATGAAGCTTTATGAGCAGGAGGCCACTCAACAGCATCTGAACTATATGAAACAATCGGGAGATCACTTCCAACCAGACGGGATTCATCCTCAACTCTGTTCAGCTTATCAACTAGCCGGTTGAATTCCGGTTTCAGAGACTCGAGCTCATTGATTACAGCACGCAACCTCTGTTATACAAAAAAAGACCAAATCTGAGGACACTACAAAGTCTAGTAACACAAAACAACAAATGAAAGATAAAACAGAAATACCTGACCTTCCTACTCCCAAGTCTTTCTTGTGGAAGCGATGCCTGGTAATCTCGATGGAAAGGAATTGTTTCAGAAATCAAACTGCAAGAAAAAACAACAAACTTGTAGCTCTTTCATGGAACATACACAAATCTAAGACTACATATAGTGATACTTTTACCCTCACCTTGAATATCTAAGAAGCATGATATACAAATCCACCACATTCTTCTCTTCCCGATATATACTGGCCTGAGCAATGTTCAAACATGTTACCATTTGATTTTGTAACTTTCTCAGAAATCAATTACTCCAAAATCTAATTGATAAACTAAAAACTTTCAGTCGCCACCTAAACCTAACAGAATCAATACCAAGTTTTACATTCTCCAGTTCCTAAACTTGTCAAATCCTAAAGCTGCTTAAACATGAATTAAGAATCTACATCTAGAGTAAAATTGAGATGGAGAATCGAATCTGCGTTGCGATATCGGGAACAGACCTGTCGGAGGAGATTATCGGCGATACGGTAGTAATTACGAAGAGGGATACGATTATCGACTTCGATTTTACGAGCCACCTTGTTCAGATCAATCTTCATCTCGCCGTATCCGATTGCACAGTTAAGTCTTTCCCGATTTGAAATCAGTTTTCCGGCGAAAGTTTTGCTGAGATCGAAGAATCAATGGCGCTGAGAAACGTAAGAGACAGAGAAGGGTTAAAACTGTGTCGTTTTATGAACCAATGTCGACATTAAAAATCAGTCAATATGAGTCCGTTTCCAACCAAAAGAAACTTATTGGGCAATATCGACATTTGCCTACTAAACTTTAGGGATATATTTGGAATTATCAATGTGAAATAATTCGTTTTTTTTAAAAAAAAATTTCTTTAAAACGATGTAAAAAATAGTGTTACGAAAACTATTGGTAACGAGGGTTACTTTTAGCTTTAAGAACTTTCGCCGTTAAAACTTTGGCTGCAGAAACTTTTGCTGTTAGGACTTTGACTGTAAAATTTTTTATAACTGCTTAGTAAATCTGACGATTCAACTTGTTTTCGATAAATGTATGTCCCGATTATATCGACACTGTGATTTCCCACAAAACATGTTGGTCTAACTCAGAATTTAGCTTATATTGTTCTTTAGCCGTAAAAAATGAAAACCTTAAGAATAGAGTTAACTCAAAAAGGTGAATAATCTTTTCTACGATATGATACAACTTATATAATCTATTCCAGCTAAAAGCATAAACCCAGCCACAAAATGTTAAAATAAATAAGAGCACTTAAATCACTGGTGAAAATTTAAAACTATTGTACATATGCTACATATCAATTATTTAACCTTTCATCTAATTAGTAATTTATAAACTATTTCATGTTCGTTGGCTCCAATTTTCATATGTTAAAAAGAAGTTTTACCAGAATTTTTTATTTTCATTTTCTTAAACAAAAAACAAAACACCACAAGGTTTATGAATGGAGCAAAAGAAAAAAGAAAGAACACAGCAACAATTGTCTGCGCAATTTATTGAAATGACAAACATTTTTATGAATCAATATCGAAAAAAACCGAACAAACTGTGCATAACTGCACACAAGTTTTTTTTATGGAAACATGAAACACGTGAGTAGGCTCACTACCACCAAACCAATCGCGTTCCACAATTTCCACGCAAACCCTTTTCCTTGTACCCTAAAAGCTCGACTCTGTCTGCAAAAATATAAAACAATTTCTTAAAAAAATCATCTATTTAAAACAATAAATTGCATCTACATACTATGAAAATAACAAAAAAGAAATAAAAAGAAAAAAATAATTTTCTTACCAGATTATCATGTCCCGTTGCACATGTGGGTCTTCTAGGGGGAAGTTCCTTGCGAGGCGTTCTCTGAAAATATAATAAAATGAACCAAAACTTAGGTGAATAATTTAGAGCACTAATTAAATGTAATTACTGGTATAAGTAGATTTTAAACATTACCTGAAATTTGGGTCTTAGTTTCTCTATTGCCGCAATTGGTCTCTGATCTATACTTGCTTCTTGCTGTAAAATATCAAAATATATAATAAAAACAATTACAATAATGTTTTCATATGTTGACAAAAAAAAAAAAAAATGTTTTCATAAGTCAAAGATTGAAATATGAAGATTTAAAGTTAGATATATTGCATAAATTGATCTACCTTGAGTAAAGCCCAATCTGCTGAATCGAAGAAAGCACGTTTGGAATCCTGCATTGATTTAAAAATTTAATATTATTAACAACTCAAATCATACTAATACGAATATATGAAATTAGTGGGTTACGTAAAGTTAAAAGATAATTCACCTTAGAGATAAGAGGCTTTTTCTTTGGCACAAGTCCTTCGTACTTATTTGCACCAGAAGTAGACTAATGACAAAATAAAACAAACCACAATAAACCGACAAATCCTAAACCGGAAAGCAATTTCCATACCGATCGGTATGTATGCGATAGGTTAACAACTTAACATAAAGGGTTTAATTTCATAAACCTATTACGTATCTGGATTTTTTAAAGAGATTCAGTGTACCGATCCCAATCGGACAAGAAACAAATTAGGAAAAATTGGGATGCATAGACCAAAACGAAATCGGCAATTTTCATGTGGACCGGATCAAGCGAAGATCCGGATGGGGAACACAAGTGTCATCAAACGTGTCACGTGGCAGTAGAATAAACCGTTGATTCTGATGCGATACGTTTAGATGAAGATGACCGTCCGTTTTCATTTAATATCTTATTGATAAGATTTTTATGTATAAGAAAAAAATATTGTTTTCCTATCAGAAATATCTTCCACCAAACGAATAAAAGTAGTATAAAACAATTCAACCCAATTAAAGTTTAGAAATCATGATATTATTTGATAATTAGTAATCAAATGTTTAATTTTGACCAGAAAATGTTAAAACAAAAACAGTGTTTGAATGGTAGAAGAAATCAGATAAAACCAAACGTGTACCCCGTCGTTAAATTGCCGACGATTGGGTTGGTAATTAACCAAAATTATTTTGACTTGTTGACTACTAATCCGACCTTAACTTAAAATCATCAAATTAATTTCTCTAATAAAAAAAATGTTTTACTGTAGTCAACACTTTTTCTTATAATTAAAAAAATGGAATTTACCTTAAATTTTTTATTTTATTGCTACCCAGATTCAATACCATCTTTAGAATCAGAATTTTGAAAACCGAATATTCATTTTTGCTCCTAAATCAAAACCTTGAATAAAAAATACTTAAAACATTGCACCACGGATTAGAGAAAAAAAATCATGAAATTAGAGAAAATTCAATAAAAAAATCGCCAATTAATTGATTTAATTACCTCTTGTTGCTGTGAAAACAAGAAATCGTCGGCTCTGTTGCAATCCGTCGACATTTTTGCCTTGTCGAATTCTTTATTCGTTCTAATCAAATTAATATAACAAAAACAAAATCAATTAAGTAATTAATAAACAAAAAAAATCTGCATTTTGGAATTTAATCTAAGTTATAAAGAAGATAATTAGGTTTAAAGAGAGAGACCTTAGAGAAGAGGTTCAGAGACGAGAAAGATGAGGAAGACGAAATAAAAGACGGTGAGATAAAAAGTATGCGTTTTAGTAAACTTGTATATGTATTTATATACATCATACGACCACACGTGCGTAGTAGTTAGGCACATTAGGCTAAGCGCAACATACACGTGTGTGAGCTTGTTAGATATTTTTTTATTTCATTTTCTTGGTGGTAAGTTATGAACTTAAATATTATCTCACTTAAGGATTTTTGGTATATAGTCTCTTGTATAGACACATGGAACATAAAAATGATTTTCTCTATTAGAAAATTTGTATGCATTATCCTAAATTAAGGGCTAATAAATAATATTTTTAAAGATAAAAGTTGGGTTTAATATGAGATATCTATACTGTTAAGAAGTTTATTAAATATTTAAAGTGGAATATCATCGAATGGGTCCGTTTCTTTAAAGAAAAATTTTTGTAAATAAAAAACAGGTGGAATTTTGAATAGATATATATATATATATATATATATATATATATATATATATATATATTGTTAAGAAATTTATTAAATATTCAAAATAGAATATCATCGAATGGATCCGTCTCTATAAAGAAAATATTTTGTAACTAAAAACATGGAACTATCAGCAAAACATGGTCGTAAATTAGAATAATCAAGAAATAAATATAAAAAAAACAAGACATAGCTATAAAAAAACAAGACATAGCTATTTTTTTTTTTTTGTATTAGCTATTTTCGATGAAATAGATAAAAATAAATCTTTTGAAAGGGAAAAAGAAGTATTAGAAAACTTTAATAAAAAAAAAAAGATCATACATTTTTTGTTATAGAAACCTATCGGACCGATTTTCTTCTGGGTTCAAGTCTTCTACCTCTCCAAGATCCTCGTCCTCGAGTTCGGTGACACGATCATCATCACACTCGGCAAATCAATCCAACGACTCTTGTTCCTCCACTTCTACCACCACGCGACGTTGTTGCTAGGATTAATTGATCTATCGCTCTCAATTGTATGATAAAATGATAATTGAATTGGAAAAATTTCACTACTATTTCATTTATCATTTTGAAAACATATGTTTTAATAAAATAAACTAAACAATGGTTTAAAATTTGTTTAGCTCGACGATATCTAATATCTCATAACTAATGTTTTTCACTTAGCATTTATGTAGGCTAAGGAGACATTTGCTTTTTTTTAGTTGGCTAATAAGATATTTTTAATGTTTTCTTTGTATAATAACGTGGTGTATTGTAGTTATAACAATCAAAATTACTTGAAAAAAAAGAAAGAAAAAGAGTGTAGAGCATGTGTCCACCCTACTCATGCCGTAGATCCGCCACTGGCAGTGATGGAGGTGAAAAACCCGTGAAGAAGACGAAGTAACTAAAAAAATAAAAAGTGTTGGAGGTGGAATCGAATCGAGACTCTTATTGGTTAGACAACCCTTGATTACCACCAGACCAAAACAATAAATTCGGTGAATTAAGTAAACTGATTGTTTATAGCGTAAATTTGGAAAAACACTTTTTTTTTTATGAGTTTTCATTTGAAAAATACCCAATTTTTATTCTTTTAAATTCTATTCTTAATATATAAAATTATTAAAATAGCCTCACTAAAATTTAGTAGTAATTAAAAATATATATATTTAACACAGAAAATCTATCAATTTAATTTTAAATTAATATTTGATGTAACTGACAAATTTAAAGATACTTTTGAGATTGCAAAACCCTTCTCTATACGGTTTTGTTCAAGATGAAAAATATTTTTTTTAAGTCTTCTTCTTGATCTGCTACTGGTCTTGTTCCCCAAATTAGCTAATGGTAAATACTGAAAACTGTGTGAAACAAATAGTGGGGAAGGCCAGAGAAAGGTGGACGCGAAGATGGTGGAGATGGAGATGTAAACGAAGCAGCTTCTGAGACGCAAAATAGTTTTAAAAAATAATAATAAAGATTATTTTGAATTTAGTTTTTTTTTTTTTTTTAAGTTTCGAATTTAGTTTTAATATATCAAAAATACAGTTTTTGTTTTAAATCTAGACAAAATTATCTTTTTACATATTAAAAATTGTAGTTTTCATCAAAAATAAAAAAAGAGATATTTTTAAAATGAAAACTCATAAACAAGATATTTTTCAAAATCTTATATATATATATATATATATATATATATATATATATATATATACGTAATGTTGAATTTTAACATCGTTACTTGATTCTGTCACTGTGTTAATGGCTATTAACTTTTTTTTTTTTGTCAACAACTATATTAGATTGGCTCAGATAAGCCAATGTTGGGGAATATTGTTTGAACGGTTATTAACTCGTAGGTAAGAATCCACCAATAGTTTATAACATGAATATTTATAAAGATAATATTAAATAAACAAAATCTTTTTTTCCAATTAAAAAACTAGAGATGTTAAACATTCAAAATAAAAATAAATAGTGGTTTTTCGAGTTTTTTTTCTTTTTACATAGGCACGAGCCTACTCATGAGATTTTTAATAGTTTTAAGGACTCATCCCAAAATTTCTATTGGTTTCGTGACCATCATATTAATCGGATATGTAAAATGCTTATAATTGTGTGGATCGAGTGATGATCTTTTAGGAGACTGGCTCTCTTTTCGTTTGGATTTGATATTTAGTGGATTTATACGTGAATTATGGAGTGTATCCGACCGGTATCTTATGCCTAATAGATTAGAGGAAAATTTACTAGATTAACCTAAATTTAGAGTTTATTTACTAGTATATCTAAAAAAAATTAGGAGTTATATCAGTTATTTTCATGACCATAATATCATATTTAGAATGACATATACTTGCAGCCGAAATGTTTTATATTATGACAGATTTTTTTTACATTACGACAGATTTCAGATAGGTTATAAAAAAATCGGTTGTATGATGACAGTTTTACTGATGAAAATAGAGTTTTACTGATGAAAATAGAATTTTAATCTACACAATAAGATAACGATAGACATATTCTTACCGCGACAGACTTAGTTATATTAGATGGCTCATGTATGGCTGTCTCCTTGTTAATATATGATTAGGTTAATTTTTTTTTTCGTTTTATATTTTTTTTTCAATTATATTTTTTTCGTTTTTTATTTTGATTTTTGTTTTTTTTTTTGTTTTGTATTTTTTTTTTCGTTTTATTTTTTTTCGTTTTCTATTTTTTCATTATTTTTATTTTTTTAGTGTATATATTTTTTTGTTTTGTATTTTTTTTGTTTATATATATTTTTTCAATTTATAATTTTTTTTCGTTTTGTATTTTTTTTGTTTTCTAATTAATTTTATTATTATATGTTAATTATTTTATTTTAATAGAATTGAAAATAAAATGGATATTTAGTCTTTTAATACAAAAATTGTGTTATTCTAATAAACCACAATTTTTGAGTGTTAATCTAGTTATTTTTCCTTAGATTTGTGTCAAACTTAAAAGAAACTTCCTCTAGGGGATCCAATGTATTTAAACGATGGTGAATTAGACTACATTCTGGATCACCGGGTCATTAGGTCAACCCGGTTTGACCACGGGTCAATTAATCATACCATGTTTAACAAAATATAAAGTCTAACAATAATAATAAAGTGATTAAAATTTTTAAATCTAACTAAAACCGTTTAAGAAGAACCGAAGAACTGAAAAAGTTCTAAAAATAATCTATATATAACAATATTTGAGAAGTGTTTTTGCTGACGTGTCGGACTCTCGGCTCTTGTTGAGTCATTGATTTTACGCAATTACTTAATTACCCTTAATGAAATCTAATTAATTTTGGAAAAATTAAATTAAATTTCGGAATTAACCAGGAAAAAATAATTTTGGAAACAATAAACATGATAATTAACCAAAAAAAAAAAGGAACAACGAAGTACCAGTTAGGAAGCTTTAATTGAATTCATCGTGTTCTTCGTCGTGTGAATATAATTCTTCTAAACGAAGGCAAAACTTGAAATCCTAATATAAAGCATATATTCATAGCAATAACAGAGATCTAATAATTTAGTGATAGAATTTCACCTGTTGATCTATAGAAGCAGAATAGTCAAGCTTCTCATAGTATCTTGCCCATGTTATGTGTTTAAGACGTCAATACTATCCTGCACCCTATAATTCTAACCAATGAAAAGAACAAATATTTATTACCTTGGATACAGAGTTGACGAAGAAACCTTGGATAAAAACTCGACGAAGAAACTTGTAAGTGTTAATGTATGATGAAGCTTCCATGAACGTGAATTCGTGATCATAATGAAGAAACGTGTGAATGGAGACGGTTGATGGTTTTTTTTTTTTTTTTTTTTACTTTTTGTGTAAACAGATCTGTTTCACCAGGAAAAAATAATTTTGGAAACAATAAACATGATAATTAACCAGGAAAATATTTATTATAATATTAATATATTTAAGATGATAATGTCAAATATCCAAAAATTATTAATCGGAGCATTAATATAAACATAAAAGAATACTATTCTAACCTTACTCAAATTAATAAGATTTAGATATCCGAAATTAATCGTAAACGGCTATTAATTGTTAAACTAATTAAAATAAAGATCAAACGTACCGGAATAGATGAAATTTTTGGTATGATCGTCGTGTTCGTCGTCGTTTCAATCTAAATATTTGGAAAAAAAAATGAACAAAAAATAATATGTAGATCAATGAAAGAGAACCCACCAATTTAGAAACGGTTATCACGCCATCGTATTGTTCGTCGGATGATTATAAGTCTCTAATCCGGAGATTGACTTGAACCCTGACAAAAACATATATTCATAGCATAAAATCGTAAATAGAAGGTAGAAGACCACCTATTAATCGGTTGTAACCTTGTGCAAACTCGATTTAATTTTGACGAATGAAATGTTGGTGTGGTGTCAAAACTTTCTTGGGGAGACTCGAAGATGAGAGAGCTGAAGTCAGAGATAGGCAGAGAGGTTTACATGTGAATTAAGGTATGGAGTGCTAACGTGAACATGAACGTGAACGGCAGTGATTTTTGCACATAATAGCAATTAGATCGAGTTTTGGAAAAAAAATAT